TCAATGCCATTGCACAATATTCAGCCTTCGCACTAGAACATGCAATAACCTGGTGTTTTTTACTTTTCCATGTGACGATGTTTCCTCTAACAAACCTACAATAGCCAGTGGTAGACTTCCTATCAATTGCATTTCCGGCCCAATCTGCACCGGTGTAGCCACTGATTTGAGTGGATTGGTTGTTCTTCATAAGAATACCTCTACTAATAGAGCCTTTGAGGTAGCGTAGAATTCTTTTGATAATGAGAAGATGTTTCACAGATGGTGCATGCATGAATTGGCTAACCAGGCTCACAACATAGGTGATATTCGGTCTGGTTATGGTAAGGTATATAAGCTTTCCAACTAACCTTTGGTAGTGACTCACATCGGTGAGAGGTTCTCCATCCATCTCAAGCTTTAGCTTACTATTAAGGGGAGTGATAACAGGCTTGCAATCAAGTAATTCGACTTCAGTGAGAAGATCCACAACATACTTGCGTTGATTTAAAAACAAACCCTTTTGAGATGTTGCCATTCAATGCCAAGGAAGTATTTTAGTCTCCCCAGGTTCTTTATTGCAAAGATGTGATTAAGAGATTTCTTGAGAGCTTCAATTTCAACTTCATTTTCACCTGTGATGATGAGAGCGTCCACATAGATGATAACCACTAATATACCAGCTGATCATTTACCAGTGAACAAGGATGAGTCCACATTACTTCGAACAAAACTAGCAGCTTCCAACACTAAACTCAACTTGGCATACCATGCACGTGGAGATTGTTTCAAATCATAGATTGCTTTGTGCAATCGACACACCATATCATTTTTACCTTGAGAAGAACCTGGTGGAAGTTGCATAAATACTTCCTCTTGTAAATCCCCATGAAGGAACGCATTTTTTACATCCATTTGATACAATGGCTAGCCACAATTCACAACCATTGAAAGAAAAACCCTAATAAAGTTCATTTTGACTACTGGAGCAAAAGTCTCCTTGTAGTCTACCCCAAAAATTTGAGTGAAACCACGTGCAACAAATCTAGCCTTGTGACGTTCAATTGATCCATCAGCCTTGAACTTTGTTTTATAGATCCATCTACTCCCAACAGCCTTCTTTCCTGGGGGCAACTTCACAATGCTCCATGTTTGATTGTTTTCCAAGGCATGAAGTTCATCCTTTATCACATTTCTCTACTCAAGAATTAGTTGAGCCTTTTAAAAGGTTCGTGGTTCAATGTGATGAGCGATTTCAGCAAGGAATATGGCATGATTGGGGTGAACACGACTATAACTCAGCACATCAGTGATGGGGTGCTTGGAAGCGAAGGTGACATAGTCTCGAAGCCTTGTTAGAGGTTGTCGTGCACGCACATGATTATGCCTTGTAGGAGGTAAAATGGAAGCCTCTTTGTGACTTTCATCTTGAGTATACTCAGTACTATCCTCCAGGTTTCTTGGTTGAGAAGACACATGAGTAGTTTCACTCACAATCTTTGCTTATTCATGATTGCTAGTGGCTTATGGATGCAAGTGCACTGAGTGATCAATGCACGCAAGCAAGGGAAATAAATCACACATTAGCTCTCCCTCTTGGGAGTGAGCAGCCTCCTTGGAGAAATAGGTATCTGTTTCCTCAAATCTTACATTCCTAGACACAAGCATCTTGTTAGTAATATGATGAAAGCATTTGTTTGAATGTATTTTTAATAGATTGATTGAATGTACAAGGGGGGATATATAATGAGGTAGAAGGTTACAAGCAACCCTACCTTGACAAATCCTACTAACCCAGTAAACCCTAAAGTTGTCACTCCTTAAATTAAAGGAGTGTATGAAGTAGCTAGCACACAACTATCAACAAGTCATCTAGATGTCAATCTTCGTCAAATTAAGGGATTAGACTTAATAGAGAATCCCATGGAAAGAGGGAACATAAAATCTGGCAGCATCAATCACCTCATATCGTCTAATATCCATATGCAGCATTAGTCACCCTATATCGTCTAATAAACATCCTGTCTTTTGGGTTATAATGTTGGAACTAACGGCTGATTGATAATAGAGGAGTATGTTTGGATGTGACAATATACATAAAATTGCGGGATAGATGACGATATACAAATTATATATCAATGGCATATGATATATAATGATAATGTCAACCAAGAAGAATGATACAACGACCACATAAGGATGATATAACGATACGTAGACTTTATATTGAGATTATGCCAACATACAAGGATGATATAACAACCACGTGATATAAGGGCTGCACAAGTAATGTTGTTGTTATATCTCATCCTTGAAACCCAACGATCTATGTGAATAAATTTAGTGTAGATATAGTATTGAGATTATGCCAACAGACAAGGATGATATAATGACCAAATGCTATAAAATGGACAAGCAATGTCGTCGTATATCATCCTTGAAACCAACGATATATGGGTAGAGTAAGTGGATCGGAATACGAATATCTTAGAAGTTTGGTCATGGACTCAACAACTTCTACAATGGAGTTGTATAGATGGAGCAACAATGCCACCATCATCTCGTTTTGGAGCAGTGATGTTGATCCTAAAACTACCTAGCCTATGTGGCGTGCAGGCCGAATAAGCTAACTACGTCATTAGGTCGAATGTAGGGCGTGCCAACTCGTCGACCGAGCTCGGCCGGGGAGTGAATGAGTGTTGATGTGGCGTTGGACGCACTGCTGACTTCTTGATCTTGCAACTGTGGCCGAGGAAGGAACACGTCTCGGCCTTCGGGTTCTAGAGCCTGAAGACAAGGCTGCTAGTTCATATTAAGTAACCTAGTAACACCTCACTTTGCGGCCATGTTGAATGATGATTTGCCGCGGCACCAAGCAATCAAAAATAATATTCCTCATAGTATTATCTTTAATAACTTCAAAGATTGCCAACCTCTCGAACTTGTTTGTGAAATTAAGGCCACATACAATCCCAACTTTATCTCCGACCATCTTGTTGTTATCACTAAACCAATAGCGCATCAGGAACATGCACGACATTAATCAAACACCACTCACATTGGTAATTTCTTCAAATTGGACTCTTAATTGCTTAATTGCATGGAATTAGTCTTCATGGCCTCACGCTGCATGCAAATGCAATCCAATCTTTTTGACCAATAACCCCATCTTTAAAATCTTTGTGCTAATCTCCTACTCCAAGCTATTCTAATCTAAGCGTCCCCTGCTAGCAAACCCAAGTTAACTTGAACTCTGTTATTGCTTCCAGAGTGGAGATAATTTGAATCCTATTTACTCCGTATCAGAAAATGTCAAGATGAATCATATTAAAAGATAATTATTATGATAAAAACCATAATATTATCCTTTATTAATAACAAAATTATCTTTACTTTTCCATCCAACAGTTGGAGTTATGTCCACTTAACAACCTTGAATGCACAAACCAATTATGCAATTTTGGTACAAACAAGTGATCAACAGATTAGAAACAGCTCTCGCCGATCTCCACCATTCTGCAAACCCAACCTCCTCTTTGCTTCAAATTGATATCTCTCCCTCTTATGAGAACTGACGAACCTAGAACCCAAGTTTCCCTCTCTAACGAACCTGAGCAACATGATGCCTCATCTCCATCATCCGACGCCTGCACCGCAGCCTCTGACCAGAAAATCATGGAATCTGTGAAAGGAAGTGAAAGGGGAGAGAGTGAGAGATAAGAGAGTTAGAGTCTGACCTGAAAACAAAATCATCTAGAGATTAACGGAAGGAAAATGGTTGGGGTGAAAATTAATATCATATTTGTTTTTTATTTTATTTTATTTGTTTGTTTAAATGAAATAGAATTTAAATTTAGGCCTAAAAACTATTTTTGTTTGTAGATTAGTTAGGTACTATACTAAACACTTCATTATTCTTATAATGCTTAGTTCATGTCAAGCTAATCTAGCTTAATTCATGAAGTTAGTCTAGTCTGAGATAGTCCAGTACAACAAACACAACCCAGATATTTTATACTTTTTAGTATTGGGTATATAAATGGAGGACTAAGGTATAGCTAGCCAATAGTTAGTGACCATAGCCATGGCAAAGCTACATGGAGACAGGAGGGGAGTCCACCCCTTTAATCGTCAGAAATTGTCATTGAGAGTGAAGATTTAGCCCCTTTGAATTGTCACTGAAACTGTTGCGCTACTTTGCCGCATTTGTGTCTTATGCTTCACTACTTTTTATGCATTTTATTTTCTTAAATACCCAGACTAAAACGACGTCGTTTTAGTCCTGAAATATAAAAACATAGAACGACGTCATTAAGGAAGGCTACCATAGGACTGTCATTATTCAAAACTATCTTAAGTTGTTTTATAGCATGAAGGAATTTGGTGTACATGGAAGTTTCAAGTCCTATGCGGCTATATTTAATGACATTATGCACTACAACCAATATATGATGGCAGCGGTATTTAAATGCAATGTTGAGTGAGGGCATGGAGCCTAATCAGACGTACTTTATATGAGTCACTCAGTCATGCTCGCAAGGTGTTTAACGATACACCCCACTTAATTGTCTCTCTCATGAATGCCACGCTCAGGAGTTATTGTAGAGAGAACTGATGGGAAGATACTTTGTATCTCTTCTATAAAATGATATCTAATTCAAGAGGCAATGATGAAAAGCCCAATAATTTCACCATTCCCATTGCTAGTGTGCGAGGTTAAGACAATTGAACGATGGAATTTTATTTTCTTAAATTTATGAGTTTTCTTATTTGGTTAATCTAAAAGAATAATGAAATTTGAATACGAAATTTGTTATTTTTAAATTTTCATTCCTAAAAATTGAGAAATGACACATATTTACATAGATTTAAACTTGAAAATTGGAGGTCTCAAATTTTAAGTTCTTTTTCCAAACAGAAATTTTAAATTTCTATATTTATAAATACAAACAAAAAAATTAGTAAATATCAATTGATAAATTCTGATTTTTATCCAAATTTCAAGTATTTCCTCGTCCAAAAATCGGTAGGGCTTGAGTTTCAGAATCACTGGAGTGCGTGATAGCTTAACTAGAACTCGACCCTCCGCCCTTCCCTGAGCGAAAACCTCAGCCGCTTCCCCGACTCACCTGCGGGTTTCTGTAGGGCTTCTCTCTCTCCTCACTGTCTCTTTTTCTCTTTAGAAGCATCAAGCTACCAGACCCAATATCAAAACCATATCGAAATCGCTGGTGAGCTCGTCTTTTCGATTCGTTAAATTACTACTGCTTTTCTCGTTGAATTGTTTATTTCTGGAACGATTATATTCAAAATTCCACAGTTTAGACGTTGTTAGAATTTGAATTCAAAGTTTGTTGGGAATTTCAGATCCGAATTTGCTTGAAATTTTGGACTAGATAGTGTGATTCGATACCTGGAACTCGAAAGACACAATGCCGAGAGCAAATCAAGGAAACCCTAATAATCCATTGGAACAGAATACAAACAGAGCAGTGATGAGGAGCAAATTTCAATATCTGCCGCGGGGTTTGATGGTGGACATTCTCTCAAGGATAGTCTGCTTCAAGACCGTCTTGAACTGCAAGTGCGTTTGCAAAGAGTGGCTTTCTATAATTTCTGACCCTCAATTTGCTCGTCTCCATCTTCCGAGATCACCCATTGGGATATTGGTGAACGTTTGGCAATCTCATTCTCCAGTGAAAAAACTTGATTTGGCCCAGATAGTAGAAAGTGCTGCTGGTTCTGGTTTTGGGGTCAAAAAAATGATTTTCACTTCCAAAAATAGACTGCCCAGTTTCGAGTTCGAGTTGATAAACTCTTGTGATGGTTTACTTTGTTTGTATGGACCGGAAACTGATGGTCTGTATGTGTGCAACCCTGTGTTGGGCGAGTGCATCGCAATTCCACCTGTTAATAATGGTAGGTGTCGCTGCGGTTTTGTTGCACTTGGTTATAACATTGGGACCAATGAATACAAGGTGTTGCAAACAACCTCATCTAATAACGAATTCTATGGTGAGCGTGAGGCTGAGATATACACCATTGGCACAGGAGTTTGGAGAAGCCTTGGAAGTGTTCCTCAAACTATACTTGATGTATCTACAGACGAAGCAATTCAGTTACCGTTTGACGCTTTTCTGCACGGAGCTCAACATTGGGCTCCATATGACTTGTCAGAGTTTTCTATATATTCTTTCAATTTTGAAAGAGAACAATTTCAATCGCTACCCACACCTACACTCTCACCTGGGATCGTGGAAGCAATGCATGAGCGGTATTCAGATTATTTACAGTTGGGACAGTTAGGAGGTTGTCTCCTTCTATGTGTGCATGATAAACCGTCTACCAAATTAGAGTTCTGGGTTATGAAGGAATATGGGTTCCAACAGTCTTGGACTCAAATTCTTGTCATTGATAACTTGTCCCCAAGATGTTTTGGGTACATGCCAATTATGTTTTTGAGTAATGGAGAAATCCTAATAGCATACGTGGAAAAGCAAAACAACTGTAGCGGCAGCCGGCTTGTTGGTTGTTACAATCAAGAAGCAAAAACTTTCAGGCGAACTACAGTTACTGATCTCACCCAAGAATTTTTTCATGCAATTGCTTACAGTCCATCCTTTGTTTCACTCTATGATGTCGCAAAAGGAGAAGAAGTCAAGAGGTACTTAAATTACACTTAAGATACACTTCTCTTCAATGTTTTGTTACATAAGTGATGGGTTTCTTTTACATAAAAAACAAGTGGTAACAGTTTTCTTTGTTTAAATATGAGTTCAGCTTATCAGTATTGCATGTATGTGTGTTTGTGTGTTCGCTGAACTGCAGAACATTTTTGAGTTTCGGTAATTGAATTGCCCTTGTTGCTATTGTAATACTTGAAACACTTGTTGAAGTTTAACTGATTCAAAAATTGCAGTTTGTTGTTCATTATTAGAACTTCGTCGACAAAACAAATGCTAACTGACTCAACACCTAACAAGTTCAATGTCTCTTTTTATTTTTATTTTTCTTTATTTTTTATATTTTTTTAAGGCAACTGTAGTAAGTTCAATGTCTCTGATTTAGTGGTACAAGGAAAGTTGCACCTCGTTTACTCAGAATGCAATCCTTCCACCATTGCAGTGATGCCATCTCGATACATTTAGAGTTAATTAGCTTGTCATGAACTATGGATTTGTATAATACATGGATGTTTTGGGAGGGAGCTGATTCAGCTGAGAAATCATTGCTAATTGGTTTTTTCCAATTCATTGTAACCATATGCTTTACCCTATATTTGATTTGCAGGATAAGTGACAGGAAGAAATCTAAGAAGCACATTGGTAAATCGAAGCCCACAGAACTGGACTTCAAATTGCATGCTTTTGATATGTGGTTCGAGCGAAATTCCTATGTGAGTTGTCAATAGGTTATGTGTTTATATGTTTTCTGTTTTCCTTGAATCCATGTAATTGATTTCGGTGCTGTCTCATTATGGCTGAACAATATGATTTCCTTCCAGGAGATTTACTTTTTGGATGGGTGAATGCGTAATGTGTTAACACTAGTTTCAGTTGGAGGGAGGTGATTCTCAATGTGCCAACAATGCTTTGTCACAAGACTATCGCGATGCTGAATCAGTTGTTTCCTTTTGTTCCTCGTCAAAGACTGCAGCTGCCCTCCCTCTATTGAGATCCAGGCTGCAAGTGATAACTTGGTTTAGGAAACATTTTGTCGATGTCTAACCTTATCCTTTTTAAGTAAGTTTTGCCAAGGGGGCTTTTAGGTTACTTGTATAGTACAATCTTCTCTTAATTTCATCATTGCAGCATGGATGTAAGTGAAAGAAGAAAACCACTAGGCCTAAAACCCCTCACTTAAAAATTTCATTTGTTAAATTCACAGCTTAGAGGTTATTAGAATTTCAATTCCAAATTTGAAGTTTGGATGACATAGACGAGATCTGGTATGATTTGAGATTTTTCAGACGGTGATTTATTGTAGTGGCGGAAAATGGTCATGTTTATGCACTCAATTGTGGATTTTATCCTCATCGATTTCTCTTTCGAAAGGACAATGCTTGGCAAGTCAAGGATGAGTAGGAACCCCTACTCAAAGCTCTTTGTGTTCAAATCACAGAGCTTTTTGCTTATGATCAGAATAGTTCATATTATGAATCAACATTTCAGTAAAAAATGAATTAAATTTAAGGTCGTTTAGTCAATCTATTATAGCAAATACATAGGCAGTTCGTAATGCTTTCATCAATTATGTTGTGTTTTTACACAAATCAATGACTAAACAATCTTAATTTTAATTGACTTTTTGTAAATGATTTTTATAAAGTGATTTATAATATATACGGTTATAATTAATTTTAAACAAGATGTTCTATAAATCGGCAACATACAATTTGTATAAGAACTACTACTCACGGACAATGGTATCGATCTAAAAAATGTGTGATTTGTAATTTCCATTAAAAAAAAAAAAGTCTAATTTTTATTTTATTGTGATTTGATAAACTCTATACTCTAAACCAACCACTGTGTTTTCTTTTGTGAATACGCAACAGAATCCCCTTCGGTTTTAAACTATTTATTTCCCCTTCTCTCTGGAGCATAAAATTTACAGGCACAATGCCGCCGAGAGGAAATCAAGGAAACCCTAAGAATCTGAAGAAACGAGATACAAATAAAGAAGTGACGAGCAGCAAAAACAAAGAGAAAGAAGAAGAAGAAGAAGAATGGAAATCCAATGATCCTTGCAAATTCCAATATCTTCCGAAGGTTTTGGTGGTGGATATTCTCTCAAGGATAGTGTGCGTCAAGACCGTCTTGAACTGCAAGTGCGTTTGCAAAGAGTGGCTTTCTATAATTTCTGACCCTCGATTTGCTCGTCCTCCATCTTCCGAGATCACCCATTGGGATCTTGATGGACGCTTTGCAATCTTATTCGACAGTGATAGAACTTGATTTCGCCCAGATAGTAGAAGGTGCTGCTGGTTCTGATTTTGGCGTTGAAAAAACGCTTTTCACTGCCAAAAATAATCTGCCCAATTTTCAGTTCGTGTTGATAAACTCGTGTAATGGTTTACTTTGTTTGTATGGACCGGAAACTGATGGCCTGTGTGTGTGCAACCATATGTTGGGTGAGTGCATCACAATTCCACCTAATAGTAACGGTAGGCGTCGCTGCGGTTTTATTGCACTTGGTTATGGCATTGGAACCGATGAGTACACGGTGTTGCAAACGACCTCATCTAACAACGAATTCTATGGTGAGCGTGAGGCTGAGATATACACCCTTGGCACATGAGTTTGGAGAAGCATTGGAAGTGTTCCTCAAACTATACTTAAGAGAAACAGAGACGAAGCAATTCAGTTACCGTTTGACGCTTTTCTGCACGGAGCTCAACATTGGGCACCGGATGACTTGTCAGAGTTTTCTATACTTACTTAAAATTTTGAAGGAGAACAATTTCGATTGCTACCCCCGCCCACACTCTCACCTGGGCTGTTGGAAGAAATGTGTAAGTGGTATTTAGAGTATTTACACTTGGGACAGTTAGGAGGTTGTTATGGACAATTTTATGTATATATCATGTATAAAATAGTTTACAAGATCAACCATAAATAGGAGAGGAATACAAGCAAGAAAGTGGAGGAACGGTGCGGACAGGGATGGCAGCTCAGCAAGCATGAGTGAAGACCTGACCTCCACTATCTCTAACTTAAACTAATACCTAGCTTTTCATGATGAGGGAATATTGCTCTTAAATAAGCCTAAAGTAAACAAACAAGCAGCTAACCCTAGCCGAAAGTAAGATGACAATGAGTTGTTATCCATCACCAACTAAACAATGACAACTAGACAAACCCTACCACCAATAATAATAGATACTTCAATACTCCCCCTCAAGCTAGATCGAGAGTTCTTCTGGTGGCAAGCTTGAAGAGAAGACGATCAAGTTGTGCAGAAGGCAGAAGCTTGGTGAACACATCGGCAAGTTGATCACTGGAACGAACAAATACAGTTTGTAATAGCTTGGACTGAACTTGGTTGCGAACGAAATGACAGTCAACCTCGATGTGCTTTGTGCGTTCATGGAAGACGGGGTTGGCAGCAATATGCATTGCTGCTTGATTGTCACAGTGAAGAAGAATTGGTTTGGAGGAGATGATTTCAAGATCACGTAGCAACCTCTTTAGCCAAATTAGTTCGCATGCAGTCGATGCCATTGCACGGTACTCAGCTTCTGCGCTTGACCGAGCTACAACAGATTGCTTTTTGCTCTTCCACGTAACGAGGTTACCACCAACAAGAGTGCAGTAACCAGTTGTGGATTTGCGATCAAGGACATTGCCTGCCCAATCAGAGTCTGTGTATCCTTCAATGGTGAAGTGTCCGTTGTTTTGCATGAAAATCCCAGTAGATATTGAGCTTTTCAAGTATCGAAGGATCCTTTTAACTAGTTGCAAATGATGAGATGAGGGAGAATGCATGAACTGGCTGACAAAGCTAACAGCATAAGCAATGTCAGGTCGGGTTATAGTCAAATAGATAAGTTTTCCTACCAACCTTTGATACTCCAATGCATTTTCAAGCTGGATGCCTGAGGTTTCATCCTTAAAATTTGTTGGTAGTGGTGTTTTGGCAGGCTTGCAATGCATCATATTTGCTTCTTCTAAAAGATCTAGAACGTACTTTTGTTGATTTAGAAACAAACCAGTTGGAGATTGATCCATTTCGATTCCAAGAAAGTATCGAAGTCTGCCAAGATCTTTGATTTTGAAGGTTGAATGTAATGTGGCTTTGAGGGCAGTTATTTTTTCTGGATTATCTCCCGTGACAATAAGATCATCAACATAAACAAGTACCACCAATCTTCCATGCGTACCAATCCTAGTGAACATTGAAGAATCTGCATTGCTTCGTTTAAAGCCGGATGACATAAGGACATAACTAAGTTTTGAGTACCAAGCCCTTGGAGATTGCTTGAGACCGTAAATAGCCTTGTGAAGCTTGCAGGCTATTCCTTGTTTCTTCTCTCGTTCATGACCAGGTGGTAGTCGCATATATACCTCTTCTTCTAACTCTCCATGTAGGAAGGCATTTTTTACATCCATTTGATGTAGAGACCAGTTTGAATTGATAGCCACCGAAAGAAGCACTCTAACTGTGTTCATCTTTGCCACAGGGGCAAAGGTTTCTTTGTAATCTACTCCGAAGGTTTGTGTGAAGCCCCTTGCAACTAACCTTGCCTTGTGCCGCTCTATGTTTCCATCTGAGTGAAATTTGGTCTTATAAATCCATCTTGCCCCAACCACACGTTGACCTTTTGGCAGAGAAACAATGCTCCAAGTTTGATTTTCATCAAGTGCCTTCAGTTCTTCAAGCATGGCTTGCCTCCATACAGGAGATTGGTGTGCCTCTTCGAAGGATCGAGGCTCAGAATTTTGGGATAACTTGGTCACAAAGACAGCATGAGATGGAGAGCTCTTGCTATGAAAAACCATTTGTCCAATAGGATGTCTAGGCGTGTAGATTTCAAAATCATCAAGCCTGGCTGGAGGTTGTCTGTTTCGAGAAGGATTCCTTCGTGGAGGAGGAGGTTGTTCAAGTTGAGGCTCTCTCCTTTCGAGAATGAATTCTTCATTATCTGCTTCCATACTTTCAGGAGCTGGCTCTATCTCAACAGCTTCATTTTGCGGTGTTGACAGCCTTGTATCATCAAGGAAGAGAGGGATAGGAAACACTTCATATGAGAGCTCCCCCTGAGGTTCATCATCATGCATTTGAAAGAAGGATTGAGTTTCATCAAAACGCACATCCCTGGATACACATACCTTTCTGGTCTTAGAGTCGTAGCATTTGTATCCCTTTTGGGAAGTTGAGTAACCTACGAATGCACATTTGATAGCCCTTGGATCAAGTTTATCTCGGTGAATAGTTTGAATGTGCACATAGCATACACATCCAAACACACGGAGATGACTTATGTCAATTTCTCTCCCCTTGAGAATTTGGTAAGGAGATTTGAACTTCAAGATTCTACTAGGAAGGCGATTGATGATGTATGCAGCGGTTTGTATAGCTTGAGACCAGAACTTCTTTGGAACTTTTGCTTGTAACATTAGTGATCGTGTTTTTTCAAGCAAATCTCGGTTCTTTCTTTCTGAAATGCCATTTTGTTGTGGCGTTCCTACACAACTTGTTTGTTGCAAAATTCCATGCTCACTTAAGTAAGTTGTCATGATTTTGGAAGTGTACTCAGACCCATTATCAGACCTTAAGATGCCAATTTTAGAGTTAAAATGATTTTGAATTAATTTATGAAAATTTTTGAAACACTGGAAAGCTTCATGCTTGAATTTAAGTAAATACACAAAAGTAGTTCTAGAGAAATCATCAATGAACGATATGTAAAATCTGTAACCATCAAAGGACTCTAAGGTGGCAGGTCCCTAAATGTCAGAATGGACTATTTCAAAGGCTTTGGTAGCTCTAGAGAGAGAGTGGGGAAAGGGTAACCTGGTGAACTTAGATTTTTGACAAACTTCACAATCTGGAATCACTTTACAGAAACTAGGAAAAAGAAAAGACATAACATGTGAAGAAGGGTGAGCTAATCTCATGTGCCACAGCTGCTCCTTGTTTACAGTGCTTGAGTTTACGTAGAAACTTTTTGGGAAACTTGAAGAGAATTTGACATAGTACAGTCCATTGAGGAAGAATCCTTTACCAATCGTTTCCTTCGAAACTTGGTCCTGGAAAATCACATAGTGAGTTGAAAAAATTGCAAGACAATTTAGCAAATGTGTTATTTTTCCTACTGACAATAGTTTGAAAGGAAAAGAAGGGACATGCATGACAAGGGATTCTTTTTGACTCGAGAAGATTTTGAGTTTCCCTCTGCCTACTATACGAACTTTGGTGCCATTAGCTACGGAGACAAAAGAAGGAGTGGAAAAGTTTTGAAAATCATTTAGTAAAGATGCATCGTTAGTCATGTGATCTGAAGCTCCTGAGTCA